TACTTGCTTACGAGCGAAAAGAGATTTACAATCTCAGTGCCGAGATAGGTCGAGCAGCTGCCGCGGCAAGGGCGCGCGAGCAACTGATCCAGCAGTGGCAACAAAACTGGAACGCGAGCACAAAAGGTCGATGGACACACTCCCTGATAGCCGACCTTCAAACATGGCTGAACAGACCACATGGGGAAGTCGATTTCTACCTGACGCAATTCCTCACCGGTCATGGTTACTTCCGAGAATATCTTCATAGAATGGGAAGGGTGGACTCACCGTTCTGTCACTACTGTGGAAACGTCGAAGATAACGTGTACCACACATTCTTCACCTGCGAACACTTCTTGATTTCGCGCAGAATGTTGGAAGAAAGACACGGAGACATTACTCCGGACAACATAGTTGGGATAATGATTTCCAGCGCAGAAAAGTGGGAAGCAGTTGCGAGATACGTGAAATTCGTACTCCGCTGCAAACGAGAGGACGGTTGTCTACTGAGGACACCCGAATGAAACGCCCCTACAAAAGAGCAGCCCCAAGGCTCTAACAGCGCGCTCCTGCATCTGAAGACATGCAGAATTGCGGTGCCAGATGCGGGATTCTTGCGCGGGCGGTGGGAGTTTGGGTTTTAGTGGGTAGCCCAACACGCTTCGGTGGGAGTCCCACACTCGGGGAAGGTAGTATAGAGACTAGCGCCCCCGGCCAGTGCATAAAGCATTTCCCTCTCCTACGAAAAAAAAATAATAACAGCATAAAATAGCAGGTTTGGTAGCTGGCGAGGCCTAGTCTTCAGTCTACTTTTGTGTGCGGCGGGCGGAAAGACCTAGTTTCCGCTACGCGCTGCGGATAGGCTGTTTATCAAGGTCGGTAAGGCCGGGTTTCCGATCCATGTTTCCGAAGACATTACTTTGTATGTGTGGTAGGCGGAAAGCTAATATTATTTGAAAGTTGTTTAATCATTGCCATACAAATTTGAAGTTTTCCGAAATGTATCAAGATCAAGTATAAATTACAGATTTATTAATCTCTACAAATTAGTTCCCGCATCTGATTTGCAACTTACCCCATTGTTTACGCTTAAAATTACGAGGTTTAAACGGTTTGCGAGGCTAGAACTCTATAAATATTTGTTTGTTCAGAATGCACATATCCCATACCTACTTTTTTACGTAATGAATCAGTCCGAATTAATCATTAGATAGTACCAAATTATAATGTATCTAATCTCCGTACGGCTATTCTTTATCAATGCTATTCGAACATGGAACTCTATTCCAATGGCAACTCGCAGTAGTCTAAATAAAAGCAACTTTAGGGATGTTCTATATCCGTACTTTCGTTAAAATAAATTGTTGTATAATAAAATGTTGTATAATTATGAGTTTCGCTATCTGAGTATCAAGTCTCAAGTTAATATGTATAACCACTGTATTGCCTTATTTGTCTGTACTTTTATTACGAGTTTTAGTTTTACTTTGTTATAAGTATTAGTTTTATAACCATCATTTTTGTACTATAAAAGATCGCAGATCTTATTGTACTAGTGATTTTGCAAAATAAATGAAATTAAATGAAAATGAAATGAAGTATAAAAAATGCGATTAAAATATCTGAAATTTTTAGAGCCAAAGCTGAATCTATTGATGTCCGGATTGCAGACTTTGATGGTGTGCTCTTCCACATCTCCAATGTTAACGCCGATAAGACCAAAGTGAGGGTAAGTTAGACAAAGAATTAAGTAACAAAACTAAATTTCCCTTATACTCACCTAAGCTAACAATGTCTATAAATTATTATTAAAGACTAGCATTTCGCTGAAATTTTATAAGCAATTACAAGAGCATGGAGCAGATGAATTGCTGAAGCGAGAGTATGGTGACTTACTAACAGACACAGAAGATGGTAAGAGCTATACAAGAGCGATCTGAATTTATTAGCTGGTTTTTATTTATGTATATAAATTTCCAGGCTACAACGTGTCGGTACTTATCAATCTAGAAAATATACCTGCTGACTGGGAGGCAGTTGCCAAAAAAATTGGTCTGCTTAAGCGAAATTGCTTTGCTTCAGTTTTTGAGAAGTATTTCGATTTCCAGGAACAGGGTGAAGAAGGGCAAAAACGAGCCGTAATCAATTATCGAAACGATGAGACGCTGTAATTGTCGAAAATACTTTACTTGATGTAAAATTTGATAGTTAAAAATTTTTTTTTTATAGCTATGTTGAAGCCAAATCAGACCGAGTAACAGTCGTATTCAGTACGATTTTTCGTGATGAAGACGACGTGATAATTGGAAAAGTTTTTATGCAGGAATTAAGAGAAGGGCGACGGGCATCACATACAGCGCCACAAGTGTTGTTCTCGCACCGCGAGCCGCCTTTGGAACTGGCAAAGTCTGACGCCAGAGTAGGCGACAATATTGGATATGTTACATTTGGTGAGTACCACAAAAAAAATAGAAAAATACAATGGGCCTTATGAATAAAACCTAAGCAATTGCGTTTTCTTAAAAGTTCAGACCATTTACTTAAATTTATTTGCTTAGTTTTTATTCATAAGGCTCAATATCAATAAATTTTATTTAATAAGAAGGAAAACATGATTATGATTTACTAACAAAATGAATAACATAATCTTGCTAATACAGTCGATAAATAATAGTGATAACCCCCAAAAATCGGGTGCCACTTATGCTAATTCTGATACGGATCTGGTTTCTCACCAGAACATATAAGGAGTGCGCACGAAAAATCTGTAACATAGAACAATCAAAATATTAAGTAAGCCGTGAATACAAGCTATGCGAGTTTGTTTTTTTATTATACTTCAGTTTTTTTACAAAAAGAAAAAATTAAAGTTTTTTGTTTATAAGGATGTTTTGAACTTTTTCAGGAATTCCCTCCACCAATGGTTTTTGACGCTGCAGTCCACTTAATTTTGAATGCCCTTCGATACACCTTTCGTCGCTTTCAGTTTCCGCTTAATTAGAGCCCAATAGCGTTCCACTGGTCTTAGCTCTGGGCAGTTTGGCGGAATAGCCTCTCTAGGTACAATATTTATATTATTGTTGGTGTACCACTCCTTGGCTCTTTTTCCATAGTGGCATGATGCCAAATCAGACCAAAAGAAGTTGGATACCTTGTGCTGCAAAACAAATGGTTTTAACCTCTTTTGCAAGCATTCATCGATATAAATATCCGTGTTGATTGACCCAGAAGTTACGTACGGCTGGCTTCTTTCTCTGCATATGGCCTGCCCCACGAGAAATTTCTTTGGGAACTTAGATTTGTTTTGGGTTCTGTAGTGTTCCGGCACATTTCCCCGCTGAACCGCTACGTAAAAGTTGTTGCCTGGACGCTGCGAAAAGTGCGCCAATACATAAGTTTCGTCGTCCATAATGCAACACTGAACTTTTTTTTTACAAAGTTTGCCTTCAACATTTTTGTTCTATTAATTGCGTTAACGTTCTCCGCAGCTTTCCGATCTGGGACTTTCTGAACTTTGTACGATACTTTGTACGATTTAAGGCCACCCAGAAGATAATTTAGGTAGGCCTTCTTAAGTAACGCCATTCTAAGAGGCCTACCTAAGAAGGGCTGAAAAAAATGCTTTCTTTCATGGCTTCTAGAAGAGCTTATCCATTTACAGTCTACGCGAATGCATACATTTATATTATTTAGCATTACAAATGAATTTCAATAAACATTTTAAGTTGCAATACATATAATAAAATTGTAACAGTTCGATGTCTGTACATTATAGATATTAAAGAAAAATTAATGTGGCTGGTCTTTATTAGAGCACCAGAAGCCTAATCAACCATTTGTAGAATTTTTGTCTCTGTCTGTCTGTCTGTCTGTATGTTTGCACGCGCATCACTCGAAAACGAATGCATGGAATTGAATGCAGGTTTCACCGATGTATTGTTAGAGGTCTAACTTAAAATATAGAGAGAAAAAAATAGAGAGTTGCCACCTGTTTGAAAATTGCAGTTTAAGTAAATTGATAAGAAAAAGTGAATATTGCAATATGGGCGCCAAAAGAAAGGCTTACAGCTAAAAATATTGTTTAGAGTTGCCACCTGTTTGAAAATTTTAATTTAATTTATAAGATAAATTGAATATTGAAATATGGGTGTCAAACTTAAGAGGTCTAGGAAATTTTATTGCCGAAAATAGTTGTAGGGAGGGTTGCCACCTGTTTGAAAAATTGTATGGTATTAAGTTGATAAAATAAATGAAATCTATCTATACCTATAATAAAATTGTAACAGGCCGATGTCTGTACCTTATAGATATGAAAGAAAAATTAATATGGTGGGTTTTTATTAGAAGTTTTTATACGAAGCTAAATAAACAATTTTTAAAATTTTTGACTCTATGTCTGTCTGTATACTTGTACGCGCATCACTCGAAAACTAATGCCTGGTATTGAATGCGGTTTTCTCCGATGTATCGCTAAAGATCTAGCTTAGAATATAGAAGAAAAAAGTGTAGAGTTGCCACCTGTGTTTAAAATTTCAGTTTAGGTCAATTGATACGGTAAAGTAAATATTGCAATATGGCTGTCAAAAGAAATAGGTTTACAAAGGCTTACAGCTGAAAATATTTTTGTGGAAGGTTGATGTAGGGTATTTTACTTGTATGTTTTTATACTTGTTTAAATTCTTGATTTTCAATTTATGGTTCTATGAATTTGTTTGTAGTTGAAGAGAAAATTTTTGATTATTAATAAATAAACTTTCAACATATAAAAAACTTTATTATTATTATAATAATAATAATAATAATAAAAAACTTAAAATTTAAACTAAATATATTTAGTTATTAAAATATCATTTAAATGATATATTGGCGATCCTGCATTATATGTAACTTGGACTACCAAAAAACGACCNGAGAAAATTTTTGATTATTAATAAATAAACTTTCAACATATAAAAAACTTTATTATTATTATAATAATAATAATAATAATAAAAAACTTAAAATTTAAACTAAATATATTTAGTTATTAAAATATCATTTAAATGATATATTGGCGATCCTGCATTATATGTAACTTGGACTACCAAAAAACGACCAAGATCAAATGTCTATCAACGAAAAGCGCAACATCAAAGGAGAAACAAATCTCTTTTGAAATGTTTCAACGGCTAGCTCGATGTGCATCCGCTGTTGTCCTTTCCGCTGCAATAGTGTGAAAATTTTTGCCAGTCCAACTGCCACAACTGTAAGCAACATCAACCTATACAAACGCAATTCTTATGTCCTTCAATATACACCAACAAAGGCAAGCCTCGGAAACAAGTCACTTGTCCAGTTAATCAATCGCTCCACATGGACAATTTTGCAACTTTAATTTCCACAACCTGCCATAACCAAGCATTAGCCCCCAGCAGCCGTCCATTGCTCAGCCAAGCCTCAACGCCTATGACCACAGCCAACAGTTCAACACCACAAATGTTAGTCACTGTTGTGCCGCTTAACATAGAATGGGTTCTAGGCTCTTAATCAACAATAACCATTGAATACGTTATAAATGCAGCAACTTTACAGCATCAACAACAAGGTCAACAGCTGATGCAGCAACATCATGTCTCAGCAATAACAACAACATTCTAGCGCATTTAATTATTTTCGTCGTCGTTGTCATAACCAAACAAATGTTTAGTTATTACTAACATTTATTTAAATTTTTAGATAATTATTTCTGTATTTATGCATATGTATGTACATATATATGCATACAATTTTTTTATTATTATTTATATTTATTTTATACTCTCCTAATATTAGTTAACTCGTCGTTTTATTGGAGGGGGTGTAAATGTAGGGTTTAAATACCTTCTTCTTTTATACCTGTACAATTTTTATTTCTTGTTCAATTGTTCTTAGATTTTATTAGAATTTCTAAATGAAAAGTTTTTAAAATCAGTAATATAAAAATCTTCAAACTACAAACCTAAAATTTTGCATTGAGCATTAAATAACTAAAAATTTTAAATAATAAAATATCATCATGATATATGTAGGGTATTTTACTTGTATGTTTTTATACTTGTTCAAATTCTTGATTTTCAATTTATGGTTCTATGAATTTGTTTGTAGTTGAAGAGAAAATTTTTGATTATTAATAAATAAACTTTCAACATATAAAAAACTTAAAATTTGAACTAAATATATTTAGTTATTAAAATATCATATAAATGATATAGTTGCCACCTCTTTGAAAACTTTTTTAATTTAATTTAATTGATAGCATAAATTAAATATTGCAATATTGGCATCAAACTAAAGAGAGTAGGCAATTTTAATGCCGAAAAAATTTTTAGGGGATTTGCCAACTGCTTGAAAAATTGTATTCATTTAAATTTGTTAAATAAATGAAATATTACAATACGGACATTAAACTAAAGGGGATTGGGAAGCTTACTTTTGAAAATATTTTTGAAGCGGGCTGCCACTTATTTGAAAACTATGGCTGACTTCCAAAACGTATCCATACAATGTTTGGATACTGTTATACTGCGGTATTCAAACTGTTTGTATATGCAGAGTTGCAACAATATACATTGCATATTTTAAATATTGAATATAGCAATGAACAATTATTCTGACTTTTCCATTTTTAAAATACCAGTGGTAACCAATAACAAACGAAGCATCAACTTTGTTTCTGATGCGCTGATTGTTCTAGCGATGCGTTCGATAACTTTTCGGATGCGTTTTGGAAAAGTATACATTGTCAATATTTTGTAGTTCGGCGTTATGGAACATTATACTTTGTACGTATGCAAAGCAATTGACGTTTTGGAAGTCAGCCTTTAATTCAGTTAAATTTATAATATAACCTAACTGTTGCCATATGGGTATCAAACGAAAGTATTTGAGAATAATAAAATTGCAACAGGCTGTTATCTGTACATAATAGATGTTAAAGAAAAAGTACAACAGAAGGCAAATCTAAAATTTTTATAATTTTGGTCTGTCTGTCTGTATGTTTGTAAGCGCATCACGCAAAACTAATGTTTGCAATCAAATGCAGTTTTCACCGATGTACATATTTGCTAGGGCTCTAATTGAAAATATAGAAATCATTTTTTTTTTGATTTAGTTTATCCTCGATCATTATGCCTAGGTCGTTGTTTATATTTAGAGTTAGCAATGGACTGATATCAAAATTTCGCCTTGATATAACCACAAACTTAATTTTATTGACATTCAATTAAGTGTGTTCAAGCATAACCAATCGCACTTTTTTGAAACTTCTGTGTGGAAGGTTTTTCGCTGAAAAAATCAAAAGTTTTTTTGTTGCTGCCAAAAAATTAAGAAATCTGAGACGTCACGCTTTACAATTTCATACAGTTCTCTGTATTTCATACATATGCCAGCACCTTGAAAATAAATATTCCGACCAAAAATTTACTTGGTAAAG